CTAGTGACTGACACATCACACGGCGCGAACGATGTATCATGACAATAGAATGTGATGCGGCCATTATTGGCTGGCTAGGTATTGTGTATTATGTACGGTCTGTGCCTAGGTTTGGCCTTTAATGTTATACCTCTATAGGTACTGCGTTCATTTGCTGCCATTGTTACTTGAACAGCAACGAGAAAAAATAACATCCTTTAGATTAAAGATTAAACTGCAGCAGAAAATAAATTTGAATAACTGCCTCAATTCAAGAGTTGTAAAACTAACAAAACAATTTAATATTTTTGGAACAAGTTTTGCATTATTTTAAAAGGACCAGTCTGTGTTGTCTGGCTAATGATACGCACAAGCGGCTCCTGTGCCATCATCAGCCATTGAACCGGTCACCAGAAGTGCCCATCCGTGTTCACTCAGTGGTTTGTTTACAGAAACAACAAAGTCTACTGGTACCTACGCGAGGGAATTTCGCGTGAGGCCTCTACTTGGCCTTAATTTTTTTCCAAACTACATATTGACATAAGGTCTTGTATAAACAGAGGCTTTTTGCGATCGAGGCCCGGTAGGGTTACTTACGCGTGTTGACAGTGCTAAATCAATCGATCCAGCGATGAGTGTCTCAAGCATCATGGTATCTGGCTGTCGTTTAATAAATCTATTTCTGCCGTCTCTGCGATGTGTTGCAGACGGACCACTATATGTTTATTACCATCTGGAGATTACATCCTATACATGCATTAACCTGATTGGTTCCTAACTTATAAATTGTTACTAAAATAGAAACGTCTGTGTTCACGGTTAGAGAGTTAGATAGTTAGTGGGCTTTGAACCTGCGGTGCTACCGTGAAAATGGAAAAGAAATTCTTGTTGGCTGATGTCGTAACCGCACAGTAGCTTTGGCGGTTTTTTGTCAGCATTCCTGGTGCACCTGATTATCTGACTCGAAGTTATGCAATATCTTAATATATGTAAGTATGTAATTCCGATAAAAATTAAAAACAATATGACGATTAATATTTTATTCTACTTTCAAGGTTGGGTAGGTACATTATATCCAACTGATTTTTATGGCAGGTTACCTTCTGAGTACTGTAATAGGTGCGTGTTTTGTTAATCATTATTCACTGAAAACCTGCACATTCGTCTAGCTCCTGCAGTGGTTCATTTTGTTTTATTGCAATGCGTACGACGTGACCCGCTTACGGAACTGCTACAGGTCACAATTGTACTTCATTTATAGAACCAATCAATCTGCTATCTGCGATCTAGTCACTGCTGGATTTCTAGCTTTTTATGCGTCTGATGTCTGAGGTTAATAAACTTGCGTTTCTGATTGCTCATTCATCTTACATCATTGTGGTTTAAGATAGATTGAAATTTTTCATTTACCTGTATACCCGGCTCCTGTATCATTAGTATCTAATACAATTTAGTTTCGCTCGCCTAGATTAGTGTTCGTATCAAGTTTTTTCGTTCTGAGATTGGACGCTGCGCTTTTTGCATTTACAATTCGATTATATCCATCGATGTTGTGTCTCTTATGATCTTCAGCTAGACCAGACAGACGTTCATTGTCGACAATTGTACAATCCATTGTTACAATGTTTTTGTCTGTTTGCTTTGAATAAGTCAATTGTGGATGAAGGAAGTGAACCATTTGGGTTCACTTGTTGCTTACAACAGCGAATCGACTCACGCTACCTAAAATTTTCTCGCCGTTATAATTACTTAACGTACCTTAGTTACTGGCCGTTGGTGCGTGAAGGATGTTAAGTACACTTTAAATATTTTTTATATCACGTTAAGTAGCCACTTGAGGTGTTGTTGACTTACAAAACATGTAGCTTAGGTAGTTAAATAAACGTCTATTTATTACGGAATGACGTGACCACTGGTATTGCCGACAATTTGGTGGGTGATTGCGTAAAAAATATCAGTAATTCACGTAATCAAAACGGCATTAGCGAAGCCAAAGCGGTTAAAAAACGTTTGCTCTTTGTTGTAATAGTAGATATGTTTAATGTTTCGGTACTTAGTCACGCACTATTTAAGTTGAAGGTAATAATTGCCGTTACTCGAACTCTTTATGAAGCTTCCATTAACTCTATCAAAGCACAATTGATTCAAAGAGATTGATCTATCTGTAACCTTCGATTTTCTCTGTGAGTAATGAAGACATTAATTAATTCAGTTCAATAGGGAGTTGGTATAACTGGAACCATCTGTATGTGAGATTGATTCACAGTGCACTACATCTGGTAAATGCGTTAGATAGCTGATGCGTCGGTAGCGAGGTCGTTGGTACATGATTCCTATCTAACATGCAGTCTAGTCTAGACTAAACGTGATGTCAACGCAGCTATTCTAAAAATATTCTATCTTTTCCCATGCGAGTCGCATCGTGTATGTTAACTTCAGCATCCTTAGAATATCACTTGAAATCACAGCTGACACACCTGTATTTTTATTTTTTATGTCGATTAAACCTGTTGCAACTTGCTGCACAACATTTACACCTTACATAATACGATTATGTATATGCATCTAATTTGGAACGCCAAGGTCATTATGTCAATGACCATTTCGGGGCGGGGCATCGATTAAGTCAATATCTCCTTAAGTGGCACTTGCAAATTAATCATCGTGCATGTCTCGATGCACTTTCCATCTTACTACAACTGTTCCGTTAGTATTTTTGATTCATTCATGATTCTGATCCACTGGAAAGATGTGTTGTTTTAGCTCTGCTGCTATTCTTGTTCGGGCTGTATATCATTGATTGAAAACCAAATTCGGGACGACACGGTGCAACGGTGTCGTATGCGTTATCTCGTAGTATTACATGTAAATCTTCCCTTTATCAGCGATTTATTGGGTGCGCTTGACTTTAAACATTCATGTTTATTATCCCTGTACGTTTGTACCACCTTATATTTGTACCACGTTGACGTAGGCGTCACAGCCCAGTTGTGTTTCCATCTGAATTACATTACAGTAAAATGTCCGAAGTGGACGCGACATATCCTTTTGTTGTTGTTTCCTTTAACTTAAATACGGCTCCGTTTGCGCCCGAGAAACTACCAATATCTTCCACCCACACGCGGCCAAATTCTATGCTGCCACAATAAAAGGATTATTATCAGCCCCAAAAAATACACATATGGTAATGGCGACCCACGTTATGTCTCAGGAAATTTGAGTCTCTTTATGAAGGTGTTATTCATCTAGATTACTTAGGAGTCCGTAATAAAAGCGGGTTCATGGACACTGAACTGCCGCAAGTTTAACGAAATTCTGCACTTTTTTGCAGTAGAATACTTAGAATTACACGCTACGTTTGTCGGTGCGAAAATTCACATTAAAAATGTCAACATACTTGTCATTTCGGACGGCAATAAACAAAATAAATGCAAGTTTTATATCTTTGTAAATAATTGTTCCTCTCAAACAGACGGTCTTGACGAATTACTGTGTTTGCTATAAGTGTACGCGTAGACGTGTAGCGATATTAATCTTGTATCGCGCAGACTTCGCTAGACGAATGGTAGCAGTGGCAGATATATCATCAGGTGGTTTTAATTCCGGTCATCAATAAGTGTAATCAAAATGCGCTGTATACGAATTATTCTAATGATTAATTGAAAGCGTGCCGAAAAAAAATCGCTGACAAATCGAGACGCTATCAGACAGATACACGTTAAGTTTATTGCGTTTTTTCAGTGTCTTTTTATTCGCTTGTTTCTGACAAAAGCCTTTGGGTGGCCGAACTTTTCAAGGCCTGTTTATGCTTCAGGAGGTCTCCAATCTGTTTCCTTGTAAGAGCTCAAACATTTTCTTAAACTCTAATCCTAATCGGCTCGTTTATCTCAATTTCCAGACGGTCTAAAAGCAGTTTTGCATAAACCAATTTGAATATTTTTGCATTCGCGTCTAAATTTACAGAGACTTTAAAAAAGTCGTAATAAAGTCTAGGTAGGTTTTTTATTGTTAGGTCATAAGCTTTTTTTGCGAGTTTCGTCATGCTTAATTTACAGATCTTTTACCTCTCGTGGCGATTGTTTCGTGTGCATGCGTCTTGTATTTTATTATTATTTTTTGTATGTGCAGATTAGGATTCATCAAAATATATTGTTTTGCCACTAGCATGTAGTGTTGAAATTAGCAAATTCAATTTGTCAATAGTTTAATAGTTTTTGTATAATCTTCATCGTGTTTAGTATTCGCATGTTTCTGTTTTATGACTGTGTGGCTAATGACTGCTGCAACATTTATAACTTTAACACCGTCTAATGTTTTTGTTCGTTTGACAAATATGTTCCTCTTAGTTCTACAGCCACGTTCAGTTGCCACTTAAAATTATTATTTAACTTGAAATGAGTCGTAATTTTTTTGAGGGTTTGTACAGAAATCTTTATCTATTGTTGCTTGGTAAGATCTGTAATGAGTTTTTTTGTTACTTTTGTAATGAGATTGTCAAGATAGACAGCTTTTCGTAATGGCTGTTTATTGACTACCGTTCATTGTATTAGTGATACCGTCCTAAAAAAACTTTATCTATATTTAGATATTAATGTCCAGAATGAAACTTGTTATTAGAAAACGATTATTATAATTATAACTACTTTGGATGTTGCACCTTTTTTGTAAAATTTCCTTAGTTTTTGCTGGTTTTTATATCTAGCTCTGCGCTTTATTTTTTAGTTTTTGGCAACATCATTCTACATGGTTATGATGGACAGGTTTTGCCACATAGCTCATTTGTCCGCACATTATAATGTTGCAATTACATGTACCTAAATGTATTTTATTGTTGGTCATTCCCAGAATTGGCCTGTAATGAGTTTTTACGTGTCTTAATGTTTAGAATATTTAAAGTAACTGCTATGAGATGTAGAAACCTGTGGAATATTTTTGTTCCTGACATTAAATGCAATTATAATTTTTATTTTTATGTGAGTTAGAACTAGAATATTGTTACTAAAGCTTCCGTTTTTTTACAGGAAAACATCGATCCATCACCTTACAGTTTATCCCCAATATCGGCAAAGTCAGAGAAACTGCTCCGGTCTCCAAGGAAAGCGACTAGAAAGATATCGAGGATTCCGTTCAAGGTGCTGGATGCTCCTGAGCTGCAGGACGACTTCTACCTGAACCTGGTGGACTGGTCTGCGCAGAATGTGCTCAGTGTGGGCCTTGGGAGCTGTGTCTATTTATGGAGCGCTTGTACTAGTCAGGTAAGGGTTTAATTTCTATGAATAAACTAGAAACTACCATTGGAAAACTTTGATGTTAAACTGTCTCGTTGATCGGGACTTATGTATTTTATGGTTTTGCCCTTTGTACTTTTGTATAGTATTTTATATGGTCCACAGATGCTTGAAATAAAAACTCACTTCATAAAATATTAGCATCTATTTATAATTTATTTGTTTGACAGGTGACGCGGCTCTGTGATCTCTCGTCTGAGGGTAACGCCGTGACATCAGTCGCGTGGAGTGAGAGAGGACATTTGGTTGCAGTTGGGACGCAGAAAGGACACATCAGCGTGTGGGATGTTGCTGTTAATAAAGAGGTAAGGAATCTTGGAAAATGGTTACACATTAGGACATCATTATCATCAACAGCCTATAAGTGCCCACTGCTGAGCAGTCTCTTCTCACGCGGAGAAGGTTTGAGCATTAATCACCACGCTTACTCAATGCGGGTTCGCGATTTCAAACTTATAATAATTGGAAATTATAAGCCTAGGTTTCCTCACGATGGTTTTCCTTCACCGTTTGTTAGTGGTGTCTAAATAAAATTAGGATAATGAGAGCGATTCTTGGGTCAGTATATATGGTTCATAGGAACTTAGAGTATTGGTAGACTTAGCGGTGTCCTTAAAGAAGGTGAATACGAGGGTATCGTACAACTAACCGGTAAAGATTACTTCACGGTTGGTGCTGTGGCTTTTTTTTTTTTTTTTTTTAAAGGGGGAAAATCATCGAATGACTGCTCCCGCCTGGGTGAGGCGGAAGGGAGTGTCAGACTCTTACTGACTAAAAACCACGCCGTTCCTTCTCCTGCACGTCGAGCCGGAGCCCCGGTTACCCGTTAGGTTCTCCGCGACTCCGAATCGGCATCGGCCCTATTGGGCCCCATCTGTGGTGGTCTGATGGCTCTTTGAGGCGCGCGCGGAACGCGACGCGCCGTACGCTCGGGTCTGTTTCTGGTCGGACGGGGAGCCACCCATGCTCTCCGTCCGCAGGCCCGCGCTTACGGTGGCCGGAGATCGTCCCGCGATCCCCGACGCCCGGTGTGTCCTTCGCGATGGCTGGGTTGCGAGGAGGCAGCGCTTCGCTGCCTCACGCGTCCCGCCTCCTCCTTAGCTAGCATAACTGCTTCGCAAAAGGAGGAGACGGCATCCCAGTCCCCCTCGCTCCGCATCATGGCCTGCACTAGGCCCGGACGCGAGAGGTCGCCATCGCCGATCACTTCCCTGAGGGCACGGCGGTGCTCAGCCCACGCAGGGCATTCTCCCACTGTGTGTTCCACCGTGTTCTCAGGGCGGTCCTCGCAGTGATGACACCCGGGCGTTTCCTCCCGCCCCATCAGACACAGGTACCTCCCGAAACTTCCATGTCCGGTGAGGACCTGCGTCAGGCGGTAGGTGAGGACGCCGTAGCATCTCTCAAGCCACTCCTCAAAGGGGGGTCTTACCGCTGCAATGGCAGCGAGCCCAGCCCTCGGTTGCGACAGTCGTTGCTGCCATTCCGCCATGAGATGGTGCTGTGGCTGGACAACCGGCTACCGCGCAACGTGGTTCGGTTCCCGCATGGAACAACTCTTTGTTTGATCCACAAATTTTGGTTCTGGTCTGGGTGTCATGTGTATGTGAACTTGTATGTTGGTAAACGTACCCACGACACAGGAAAAAATTCTAATGTGAGGCAATGTTCTTTTTTAAGAAAAAAAAAGAAAGTAGTTTCACATTTTTCTAAAGTCAAAATTGAGGCACATTATGATCGTGTGTTTCTGGTAACTTTGTATGAAACTTAGGACGAGACTAAATACTTGTCTCCTGTTGATTCAGTGCCTAATATGTTCGCGGTCATTTAGGACACCGCCTTACACCCTTCTTTATGGCATGATAGCAAAACTAAGTCAAGTGGATGGTATGATAGTCTTTGATACACTTCTAAGTAAAATAAACGTTATGTTTAGATTACCTATACCTAAGTTGTGAGTAATAGTAAAATTGCAATAATAATATACACGATGTTATCTCCTGACATAATTATTATCGTCACAAATTATCACTAAACCAATATTATTTTTCACTTGACTTTTCTTATGACATTGATGACAGTTGCAAACTTAGAAATTGAATGATTTAAACATATCTGGTAGCGAGACAGTAAATCGTATGCCATTGAGCTGTTATTATATTTAATTAATAGAATTATGGTCTCCAGCTCTGTAACTAATCAGCAATCAGTAGCCGACCAGTTAAAACTAGTCTGATAAATTATGCATCCGCAATGTCTAGATGTTAGATACCTAAGATAGTGATGGACCGATCATCGAATACTTGTTTATTCGATTTAAATACAATTTTGTAATATCCGGCTGTTCAGATTGCCTTGTGTTTTTATTTTTCATAAATTGAACACTTTACTTTTATCAAATTCGATGTAAGAACAATTTGTTGTTGATACTTTTCGTGCGTGTAATTTTTTAAATATAAGTTTTGTGTAATTTTGATCACATTATCCCCGAGGGGGGTTGGCAGAGGTGCAAATTACGGCACTTAATGCCACTGTACAATGTAACACCGACTTTTCACTATTTATGTTATGAGTCCCATGTAATAGGGGGTGAGCCTATTGCCATATACCGGGCACATTTCCAGACTCCGTGCTACTACTGAGATTTTTAAAGACCCAGTAATACTTTGCCCAACCCGAGATCCCTTGCCCAGCAGTCGCACTTGCGACCACTCGCCCAACGAGGCAGTCGTGTAGCAGTAGTGTAACTTTGATTATTTTTACGCATACTCATATTCCATCCGAATACTCGAATAGAAAAACTGTATCGTATAAAACTCGATACCAACTTCAGCACAACACTAAAGAACTCGCGGATGCATAAGTTTTATTAGAATATTGCCTACGCTCCAGGCGTAATTTAATATCTAGATTTATTTCTAGGATATTACTTGTGATCTTGCAATTTTCTAGCTAGTCGTTTGTGGTTTAAATATAACGCTGGCTATAGGTTTTCTATGACGTCTAACGTAGAATATGTTCGTTCATCTGTCGCTGTCTGTATTGTCATAGATTTATTAGACTTTGTTCTTGAGAAGTAACGTCACTTCTAATATCTTGGCCTATGTAGTATTTTGTAATGAGATAATCTTTCGGTCGGTGACATTCTGTTTATTGCAATGAGATCAGGAAACACTTTTAGTTCATACATTTGCAATGCCTCACTTTCAGGAACAAAAAATACTCACCTTACCTTGTATTTATATTTATGAAATGTGCAAATTTGTTCGTAAATATCCTGAATTCTATTCCACTAGAGAACACACACAATGTAATTTCACACTGAGACATAGAAAAAGACTAAATCTACCAACATCACGATTGAAAATACACTCTTCTGGACCTCTAGTCATGTCAATAAAAATTTACAATAAGTTACCTCAAGAAATAAAAAATGAAGATAAATACAATAGATTTATGATGAAATTAAAACAGTTTCTACTAAATAAGGCCTATTATAGTATTGAAGAGTATTTTAAAGAAAGATTATAACAAACACACATTTATAGGAGCACACAAGTAATGTGTCTAAAGACATACAGTACTGTGTCTACAGACCACAAGTACACTTGGTTAAAGGTACGGATGATTTATTTAGTTAATTTAGATTAATTGAATTTTGATAAAAAAAAAAAAAATAAAAAAAAATAAATCTGTTAGTGGGTAATTACATTTTAGCTATAACATTTTAATTTTGACTTTATTTAAACTTTAAATCTTGACTGTTTTTAATTTGACTGTTCTTTTGGTGGTATTTTGACTGTTTTTAATTTTTAATTTTAATTTTGAATATGACTTTTTATTTTATTATGATTCTGACTTTGTATTTAATTTTGATTATGATTTTTTTTTATTTTATTATTATTATGACTTAGTATTTAATTTTGATTGTTGGAGATTTAAAAAATAACTTGAATCCTAAATACTACAATTTCAGTTATACCTTTAGTTTGTATTCCATTTGATATTAATTCTATTGTATGTTAATTATATTTTTTTTAATTCTCCGAATAATATGTCAAGTGTGCTCCCTCCAAAACTTATGTTGTTGTGCCCGACAGGGTTCACATTGTGTCCTAATTATGTTTACCACCTAAGTAATACATGTGAAAAGCAATAAAGTATTGAGTATTGAGTATTGAGTATTGCCTAGGTATAATAGACTTTGGAGTTAGGCTGCTATATTTCATGTAATTCTGGTATTGTTAGAAATTTGGATTTGGAATCTTGAAACCCATGTCTATAGTAGCATCAGCTGAAAACTATCCACAGTAGAAAAAGGTCCCATGTAAATTAAATTTTCTCCTTTATAGCTAATAGCTATCATAGTCCCTTAACTCGGCAAGTAGGTAGGAGATCAAAGTTGGTTATATGACGGCCTATAAGTGGGCACTGCTGACCAAAGGCCTCTTCTCACACGGAGAAGGTTTGAGCATCAGCACGCTTGCTCAATGCGGGTTGGTGATTTCAAACTTATAATAAGAAATTATAAGTCCAGGTTTGCTCACGATGTTTTCCTTCACTGTTTGTCAGTGGTGTTTAGATGATCTTAGAAAGTACATATAACTCTGAAAAGTCACATTGGTGCTTACTTCATGAGAAGCGGGCGTCTTAAACCTCCGGACCACCACGACATATTAGTACGTAAAACAGTCAAACAACAAAAATATTTTTATTTAGTCCAAATTATAATTTGTGATTCTTTTTTCAGGTCACAAAACTTCAAGGGCACATTGCTCGGGTGGGCGCTCTGGCGTGGAACGGAGACATTCTCAGTTCCGGGTCCAGGGACAGGCACATACGGCAGAGAGATACGAGAACACCACGTGAGTACCTACTTACAATTACAAATGACAACAATAGACTCCACGGTTGGCGCGATGGCTGGGCAACTTGCTGCCGCGCAACGTGTCGCGGGTTCGATTCCCGCACGGAACAACTCTTTGTGTGATCCACAAATTATTGTTTCGGGTCTGGGTGTCATGTGTATAATTATGATATTGTATGTTTGTAAACGCACCCACGACACAGGAGAAAATCCTAGTGTGGGGCAACGTTTTTAAAACAAACAAAAAAAATGTAATATCATACATAAAAAATAATGCATCAAGTCTCATATAGTCAGTTTTCTCTATTGGTCATATTTTTTAAGGAAAATGAATATTTGCATTGCACGCTAAGTTAGGTAAGGAATTTTAGGTTCGGCACAAATGCCTGAATACTAAAACGTTACTTAATTTTAAGTCGTGCTTAAATATCATGCCATATCTGTCATTTTACAAATAATATGTAGTGACAGAACTATACTTAAGCGCGACTTAAAATTGAGTAGCGTTTGAGTATTCCGACAAAAGTCTCATAAAATCTAACTAGCATAGTGATATAATAAATTTAATGTGTCATGATGAAAATCTGGTTATTGTAATGAACCGTAAAAATAGTATAGATTTTCTTTGTAATCTTATTATGCATGTTATCCCTTAGTGGCTCTTTTCTAAATCTCAACATGTAATTATAGAAACAAATACCCTAGATGTGATTTAAACCCATATTGTTTTCTTGCAAAGGTTTAAAGACGGACAGTTCAGACAAAGGGTTAGTTCTCTCATAAGTAGGCACTCGCTCGGTTACTTGCCCGCGTTTAGAACAGTGGATTTCAAAGTTTTTGTGAATTACTCTGCAGTTTTCATAATATTCATAAAGTGCAAGTTTTGATTAAGAGTTTTGGGAACGGGGACTTCCATACAATTTAAATTACTCACTAGGATATCTTTCGTTTATTGTAAATTGTGAGTGGGTTTCAAAAAAATATCTACCTGTCTACAAAAACAAGTAGGTACATATATTTTTTTCCAGTCTCAATTCTCGACACGTAATACAGTAGCCGACCACTAAATTATGGTGCGAAAAACACGTTGTTATATCAAATACATTGTCCGAAAAACAAGTTTTTATACAATTTATTGCGAGCTCGAATTAATGTAAAATGTAGCTTACAAAATTTAGATTTAAATTACACTGAATGATAAATGATATTGACAATTTATTAGGATGAAATAGAACTTTTACACGATAATATTAAAATGTTAAACATAGATTAAGTTAACATTTCCTTTCAGACGAAAACTTAACAACAAATTCAGAGTAATATAACTCATTACGGTACAAGTAACTAAAGTATTTTTTAATGTCCACATTTTCACAGTAATTATAATTTTACTTGACTGTAAAAGAATGTGGTTTATTCACAATTAGCTCCAAGTTTGAGTATCATTTACTGAAGCACCGTTGCATCTCAAAGGCAAGCGCACGACTTTGCAAGTTCAACGACAATGCAATTATGCCAGTGCAGTGTTATACTTAGTACTCGGTGCTCTGTCGGTACTTTGTTCTGTACCTACCACAGAACTGATTCATTCAGATAAGAGTCCAAAATTATTTTGTTATTTACTTAATTGTCTCTTGTTAGCATTCAAATGGCTCCGAAACTTGAATTAAAAATCACTATTGGAAAGTGTCATTTTCATGGAGTATCTTAGACTTCTCATCCCGATTATTCGACATTTTTTTGATACGTTTTGTTATAGAATCTGAGAATCTGATGTATTGAACTTAACCACCTTCCAAGGATCGTAGCTTTAGTTAAAAATAAGCAGTGTGTTACTGTCACGCTTTTACAAGAACTATCGTTTTATTATCGTTAGTGACTTTTCGAGACAAATGTTAGATTTCGATTAGCTTTATTTTTTAACTCAAAACGAGACATTCGTTTATTTTGATTCAATTAGGCAGTTAGGTAGCTAGATCCTAGTTTAGAACCTGTAAACATATACTTTGTGCCCACAACAAAAAGGATAACATTACTAACTGCACAAAAATTTAGGTACTTGAAGTTTGTAGGCTTATAAAGTTTTCCGACTGTTCTTCGTCAAAAATATGCGAATTATGTATGACGCTGCATCGCTATTCCCTCTCACAAACCACTCGAGCCGTCCGAGCGGTCGTCGCATAGGTTTGACTGTTCAAATTTTCACGTAGTTTCCGAAGACGGGACGATTTTGGGGGACAACGGGACTCGTAATTATAAAAAAAAGTACAGTCTCGTTCAAAACGGGACGTCTGGTCATGTCCTTTGTGTCCAGGAGTTTGTAATGTACTTAGAGCAGAGTACTGTGGCCTTAGCACGAGTTTGATTTACGTTTAAAGTATTCGAAACGAGTATGCGTTTGCCACTCTGATTGGCCGGCACCAATGAAGCAACCAATCACAGCGACGAACGCGTACTCGTTACTTTAAACGTACCAAGGCTTCTGATGCATTCAGATAACTCGTACAACGATGTTGTTGGTAAACGTGCACTTAGCTCTAATGGCCAGTTTTATTACTCCTGTCATTCTTGTGTTATGCACTTTTATTATCAACGTTTTTTATTATTTTCTTCTGTTGACCGCATCGTGTGATTCTGTGATTGTACATTTATGATTAGTGAAAATACTAAGGTAGCTTCGTTGACGCATTTTATTGTATTTTAGTTCATTTGTAACTGTGTTATTGTTATAATTCTTGTTTAAAAATTCACTAAACTACTATTGCTACTAAAGTTTTTGTTAAATAATTTACGTAATTTAATCCCTTATATGCCGTACGCCGGGGACGTACGCAATACGCAATGTGTTTTCTATTGTGTCTCATATACCGGCAGATAAGGGGTTAACGAAATATTAGTCTTAATTTTTATAGTATCTTCAATAAACCACAGTTTAAACCTAGCCTAGCTATAACACGATACCTACAGTTACCTTAACAGTTACGATGCATCCAGATAACTGGCTTCTACCGTGTACCACATCAAGTTACCCCATATTAACTCATTTCCAACTTTATCCTTGAAATTTTAAGGTTTAAAATCGATTGATAATGTTTCATAGATCAGGGTAATTTGACGTGCGTGCGTCTATATGTTCTTGTTAGTAAATACATGCGCCGGAGCACGTTTAGGAAGATCCATTACTTCGTGTTCGGGGCACAGACTCGTTATGCTAACAGGACTGTGAGAGTAGCTTTAAATAACTTGATATTGATAGGCTTATAAGTGGTTATTTTCTTACGTAATTATCTTCGGTTTAGAAAATTTTATTCAGAGCTATGTTAGTTAGTTTTTGAAGGCATCATCAGCTTTTCTTGCCTGGATATTCTGTTTGTAATCGCGATAATTCTACATGTTCAGTTAAATCAATGTTTTAATTGATATCTATTACGATTCATGTAAGAACGGTATAGTTTCATAATGCAATACACATTTTTGATCTCAAACGTTTATTTAAAATAAATAAAAATATGTTTATTAGAATAGAATTTTATAGGTATTGAATTTTCGCACATTGATTATATATTGTTTACTCAACATTTTATAATGACAAAGTAATCTTTGTTTTGTATAATACAGTAAAATTCTTTAATATTCCGTACACGTAATGTGGTTTAACATTTACACAATTTGTCCGATTTATTGCTTTGACGTCCATGTGACGTCATAAAGCAAGTTCATTAGCCAAAATGACTCATAGAAATAACATTTTATTCTTTTTTTACAGCGGTGCAAGCATCCCGTATCCTGCAAGGACATAGACAGGAGGTTTGTGGTCTAAAATGGTCACCAGACGGCCAATCATTAGCTTCCGGGGGCAACGACAACAAACTTTTCGTCTGGTCTATGGTAAGTCTAGCAAAAAGCATTGTAGTTTTTTTTATTGCATAAGCCGGTAAACGAGCAGACGGATCACCCGAAATACCAAGGCGTTACAAGTGCGTTACTGGCCTTTTGGGAATTGGGAATTTGAGGATTGTGGAGGATTCGGGGATTCAGGAAACTAGGGAGGGGGTTATTGGGCCTCCGGTAACCTCACTCACACAACGCAAGCGTTGTTTCACGTCGATTTTCTGTGAGGCCGTGGTATCACTCCGGTCGAGCCGGCCCATTCGTGCCGAAGCATGGCTCTCCCACACTTAAAACGAACCACACGTAATACGGAAATTGTCCATTATGTTCATGTTCAGTTTAATGAAAGGATGTATGCAAAAAATGTAGTCGGTATTTTTTTAATTCGTGTTAGGTATAAAAATGCATTTTAAGTATGTATGTTTATTTTAATTGCCTTGTCAGATTTGCATATAGAATAAGTTTTGGATTAATTCGTAACATTTTATTGTTATAAATGTCCCCAATTTTCTAGCTATTAACATTAATCGAGCTATTAATTTTTATAACAAATGTTAATTTAGAAACCACTAATTGTAATTCTTGGCTAGCTGTTGGACGGTAGGTATATGTGTTCCATTATTATCATAACGGAAATAATTAATATTGTTAATAAAACTATTATATTGTAGTGCGTTATGTTTTGCGTGTTACCGCAATTATTATCGGAAATAATCATTCCCACGGGCAAATACCTATACGGTTCACTATTTATATTTGGTTATGGATAAATAGACTGCCTCGTTGGCCGAGCGGTCGCAAGTGCCACTGCCGGCAAGAGCTACGGTTTTTTTTTAATCTCAGTAGTAGCACGGAGTCTGTAATTGTGCCCGGTATATGGCAATAGGCTCACACCCTATTACATAAATAGTCAAAAGTGGGTGTTAGTTTGTACAGTTACATTAAGTGCCGTAAATATGCACTTTGTCTACACTTTCGGGGATAAAAGGCGTGATGTTATGTGTTATGCTATGGGGAAACTATGAGTAGAGTAACAAATATTACTTAATCGTATTATAGTGTATAGTGTTAAAGGGCAGAATTAACTTCTCTAAACACAGTATTCTTTATAACTTTGGCCACTTTTTCACCAGCTATCTAATAGTATAGACGGCACGGTTGGCGCGGTGAACAACTCTTTGTGTGATCCACAAATGGTTGTTTCGGGTCTGGGTGTCATGTGTATGTGAACTTGTATGTTTGTAAACGCACCCACGACATAGGAGACAATCCTAGTGTGGGGCAAAGTTTTTTAAAATAGTAAAATAGAGTATTAGGGATCTTTGGAGTTCTAAATACTAAATGTTTGTCCTATGTATTGATATTATACCATGTAATAAACTTATTTGATCCTTTCTCGTCTCGGTAACCGAAATCGAATCTTCACGTAGCAACCTGGTTTATGGCTATTATCATCTGGAGCAAAATTATAATAGCCGAGTTTGTTAGGTCCCCACCTAGTGCTAATTCATATAATTAAAGGTACCTTCAGTGGTCTAACAATTGTAGACCCTATTGTATAGGACTTAAAGTTGTAAATTTAGTGTTAAATAAACCACTCGTTTATTTCAATTACGTTGAATGGCGGTTTGACCTACATAGGATGTTATTTGTGCATTTTGTTAGTATTTCAGTTATGAATGTTAGCAGAAAATAGCCTTACGTAGATTAGAACGCATTTTGTTCTTATATATGACGACAGTTTACTCAAACATTTGTTTTTCAATAGACATATATTGGAAAGCATACATAACATCACGCCTTTTATCCCCAAAAGGGTAGGCAAAGGTGCACATTACGGCACTTAATGCCACTGTACAATATCACACCCACTTTTCACTATTTATGTTATGAGTCCCATGTAATAGGGAGTGAGCCTATTGCCATATACCGGGCACAATTCCAGGCTCCGTGCTACCACAGATTTTTTTTAATAATCCAGTAGTACTTACTTGGCCCGACCCGGGAATCGGACCCGAGACCGGCAGTCGCACTTGCGACCACTCGGCCAACTTCCCATTGGAAAGCATCGTCAATGATTAATTATGTATATCCGTTCAAAGATAACGTTAAAACCCTTTTATTAAACTGAAAAAAGTATTTCATAACTGAATGTTTCTTTGAAGTATGTCTTTACAATCTTTTTTCTCATTGTACTAAAAACATATCACAAAGTTCTCTTCTATACTATCTAACTGACATATGTCTACTAAATATGTATCCTCTACTGCAGCACTCCACGTCCCCGGTACAAACGTACTCGGCGCACGTGGCGGCAGTGAAGGCGATCGCCTGGTCGCCACACCAGCACGGCCTGCTCGCGTCCGGCGGCGGCACGGCCGACCGATGCATACGGTTCTGGAACACTCTCACCTCGCAGCCCATGCAGTGTGTCGATACAGGTATGTACAATATACTTTATTTACAGTACTAGCTTTTACCCGCGGCTTCGCTCGCGTCACAAAAGGCTAAAAAGTAGCCTATGTGACATATACCAATACACACAGCGCCATCTATACCAATACTTTTGTTTTTTCTCGGGAATATCAAATTTTTCCGGGTTAAAAAGTACCCCTATTATTTAATCCGGACTTCTAACTTTACGTCTGCAAAAATTCAAAGCAATCGTTTAGTAGTTACGGCGTGAAAGTGGAACAAACAAACAAACTCACTTTCAGATTTATAATATTAGTAAGGATGGTTTAAAGTTGAGTGAATTGTGTTGTGGTATAATTTGGAATCCATATAATATTTATAGGACTTACTTAAGTCCTCTACAGAGATGCTCGATTAGTTTCGAACCCAACCGCAGCCCTTAATCATCATTATTTTAATGGTGATGCGATTTTTAACGAAATTCTTTTGTTAATCTAAGTATTTAAACCTGTACACCACTAATCATCAATTGAACTTAACTTTAATTTGTTTGCATGTAATTCCAGGATCCCAAGTATGCAACCTTGCATGGTCGAAGCACTCCAGCGAGCTGGTGTCCACGCACGGCTACTCTCAGAACCAGATATTAGTATGGAAGTATCCGTCGTTGACGCAGGTACGTAAATACCTTAATATCTCAAGTAGCACACGTCTTATTTCATTCTCAAACAGTACGAACGTACACACGGCTACACATCGAGCTTTACATAACCAGTATAAACTGAACGTTAAATGTGCGGAGAGATGATGCGACGCGACACCAGGATAAACTGGTTTTGTATAGATTGATGTGTGGCCGTGTGTACGTAGGTACGTTCGCAACCAATTTGTCCCTATTTTGTTTTAGGTCGAAAATCATTTGCCATTGGTACTAATTTACACGTGCCTTTATCCCCAGGTGGCGAAACTAACAGGTCACTCATACCGCGTCCTGTACTTAGCACTATCACCCGACGGCGAGGCGATAGTCACCGGCGCTGGCGACGAGACGCTGCGGTTTTGGAACGTTTTCTCCAAGACACCCTCACATAAGGAGAACAAGAGCGTTCTCAACCTATACACAGCACTTAGATAAACATATACCTAGATATATAGACCTTTTGTATATACTAGATTTATTTATTTTTAGCTATTTAACCTTACGTTTCGAAGGATTTTTTCGGTGTTCTAATAAGCTAATAAGCTGGACTGTTCTACAGTTTCTAATCCGTGTTTGGTTTTGGTGGTTTGTTTGTGTTTATATTAAAAATATATTTTATTTTATGGCAACACTGGGTTAAAGATGGCTGTATAAACAGTATTGCCATCTTTCTCCTAGATATTTGGTAATTCGCTTCAAATTGACCACCATGCCGTACCAAATCGTTATTTTATACATAATGTACACTGGTTTGTGTATAGATTATTATATACATATGATGTAATTATGTATATTTGTTTAGATTGAGTTGTACATAGACATCTGTACAGTCCTGTGGTGACTATTTACGGTTCTTTGATAGAATTGTGTTGTTGCTTATGTTATTATGTTTCTATGTATTTACTTAGATAGAGTGCAGGTTAAAGACGAATTCAGTGACGAAACATTCGCTTTCGTCATACAGAAAACTTGATATACCGTAAGTGGTACTTAGATAGTAACCACAATATAATACAGACTTAACGATCTTATAATGTCAAACATACATAAGAACAAAATGTTTAAAATATTGCTATGATTGAAATATGCTAAGCACTCACTTTATGGCTATTTAGTATTCAATGCTAATATGAATAAAGCATATTTTCATTTGTCCCGTAAAGAAGGTGATGAAACCGTACTGCTGGACAGGTCGACTTTGTCTTTAGTCTGCACTTGTATTATGAAACTTGGCGATAGTGGGATAGAACTATAAAATACAAATGTACTAAGTATCTAGATGATACGGGTAGTGTATATGAACTGGTTCAAATTATGATTGAAACGGTACCAGGTTTAACCTTCTGATTGGTTAGTAATACTTGGAGCAGCCAATCAAAGCGTCGTACGTCACAAACGTGTCATTCGCGTCAACGTAAAACTCGCACTAGGTATTCTAAAGTTAAATTGCTTAGAGAAAACTGTTTAAGGCAAATCGTTTACTAACATCACTCAAACATCGACTGTATTGGTTAAAGTATAGGATGTATTTTTAAATACAACTTTAGGGCATAGCTAACACTTGAGATGCATTGTATCTGTGCATTTTTTTATGGTTGATCTCCTTTGCAGATACTAAGTTACTGGAGTTGTAGTACTCGGTCCTAAGAAAAATATAGTTTCTATACAATACAACTACCAATTTTGAACATCATGAATGCAATATGAGTTCTAAGATATAAGTTTCACAGTTCGTTCCCCTTATCGCCTGAGTTATTTTGACAAAACCCGTATACAGATATGAAATGAAACTTTATTTGTACTTTATATAAAATTTACAAATATGTTCATATGAAACTTCTGTTTCGACAGTCGATTTGGTATTGTATTAATTCGTGTTACTAATCAACGATTTTTCTGTTCCAGCTTCATTTGTTTTTCGATTTTTACCAATTGAGAGTGGGGTATTAATGTTAGGGAATATTATTATTATCATTCTCTCAAATGCTTTGTAGTCGAAATTTGTTCCAGTCAATCGAGGAGATGTTTAGAACGAGATTATGTACTATATACAGACTTTAATACATCAGGCACGTCAAAAACAACTTTGTTATAAAGTAATACGGTTCAAAGTCGTTAAAGATAGATGACTGGGGCGTAGCTTGATGTGTCAGTGTCCGTTGAAGCGTTTTATTTACAGCTAAATTTCTTATAGGCGTAGTCTTAATGTATATTATGGATTCGCATTCATTAAATGTAAATTGTAAGTTTATAAAGATACAATTGGAGGTGCCTCCGTAATGATCTCATTAACAACCCTACGATCTTAATATATGGCAACACTTTTATGTATAAACTTTTTCTTCTTTATTTTATTTATTGTTTTCGTCTTCTGAATAGTTTATTTTTTTTGTATTTTATTGTTATTTGTGGTGTTGTGGGTTGCCAGTTGTTGTTTTTAAACTCTGGCAATGCGTTTGCTTTAAAATGTAATGTTGTATTGTTTTTTACAAATCGTACCATTCGTTTTTTAGTGAATAGTAAGTAGCACATAGAAGTAAATTTATTTTAATACCTCGTACAATGTGTAGTACATATATTATTATTATAAAAGAGCTTATATAGGAGGTAATAAGGTAGAGTTTACTTTGACACGACAGGTAACAATATATTTCCGAGGCGCCTCTAGTTCGCTATGTATGTCCTACTAGATGTTATATTTTAAGTTAGAATTTGACGCGTGCAATGTAGTTATTAATAAAATTTATTGTATTGTGTATATATTTGTCGACTAAGATTGTATTGTATCAATTGCAGTGTTCTAGGAATAGTACGAGATCCGGCTGCAGAATCAGTGTACCCATCGAGTGTTTGCTGAAAACCAAATTTTTACACATATTCATGATTAGGAGAATTTATATCCACCAGGTTGCCTATCAAAATGTGGCCGCTAGTGTTTTTAATTAAATTATTAATAATTCATAATCCGTAAGAAATTTCATTGACTTTTTTTTTCAATGAAATGTCGTCTACTTTACGGCAACATCTATAAAGACTCTGAAAAATTATGGTTGCCGTTGCGCACCTGGCCGCACCTCTTCGCAGCCAGGTATACACAGGTATGAATTTGTTACATTTATACACCCACAACGTACATTTATAATTTATATATCAAATTAAAGCAATTTTTTTTCTGTATTTTATTATATACGGTTGCTTAATTAAATCTGGCCGCCAATAAGGGTTGCTGGCTAATAAATATAGTAAATATTAAAAGTAGAGTGAAAGAGAGCTAGCGCGTAACACCACTAGTCAGACGAGGATAGCGATTGCCAGCTATACGACGATAGCGGAATCTGTAAATGATAAGAAATGAGATATTACAGTAAAATATTCCGTTGTCATTCAACAGCAGAGTTTTCATTGTATTTTAAAAAGGTAAATTGCAATATTACGTCGATCTAAAAGAATATAAATATGTAATCTTTGTTTTTTTTTAATTTTTTAAATATAGACAGAAATATCTTTTTTTCGTAATGATGTAAAGCATGATTAACAGAGAAAATCGGTGATAGCATTTACTTCTTTACACTATATTGCTGAATGATTTTATTGATTATTTAAAAGGTTCGACTACATGAAGAATTCTACGTATTTAAGAAATTGAATATCCTAGGTATTACTAGGTGGAACTATGTGACCACGTTTTTCTATAAAAATGAAAAATAAAAAAAATATATAATTTCTACTAAATAACCTCAAAGTTAGCTCTGTATTATTTATATCGTAATTATTACCTATATTTTTTAAGTTCGATTAAAATTTTACTTACGGTTTGTGTCTTGCAAAAACTTTCGAATTCTTCTTTATCTTTTTGCTTTAAAACTGTAATTTTTTTCAAACATTTTGTATGATATCCAAAATCATCGGTAGATTCAAGTGTTAATAAAATGTCATGATATTTATATATTTTTTTGCGACGAAACAATAACATTAGAGAACACTTTTTGACTGAAACATTATCAAAGTCTAGTACATTGCATTTTTTGTCGCACAGGAAACACGCCTTCTTCCTTATAAATTTTATTTCACTTAAATGAGATTGATAATTTTTCGATGCACAAATAAAACAGCAATATATTATGTTGTGTATTACGTACTCCAAACAGCATTGTTTCGAACTTAAAATAAAAATCACAACTGATCCGTTGAGAACACTAACATCTGACGCATGTGCAATGGCTTTAAACCGTCCGACAGCTGGCAATCGCTATCCTCGTCTGACTAGTGGTGTTACGCGCTAGCTCTCTTTCACTCTACTTTTAAAAGTAAAGAAAGAAGTAAAAGCTATCACCGATTTTCTCTGTTAATCATGCTTTACATCATTACGAAAAAAAGATATTTCTGTCTATATTTAAAAAATTAAAAAAAACAAAGATTACATATTTATATTCTTTTAGATCGACGTAATATTGCAATTTACCTTTTTAAAATACAATGAAAACTCTGCTGTTGAATGACAACGGAATATTTTACTGTAATATCTCATTTCTTATCATTTACAGATTCCGCTATCGTCGTATAGCTGGCAATCGCTATCCTCGTCTGACTAGTGGTGTTACGCGCTAGCTCTCTTTCACTCTACTTTTAATATTTACTATATTTATTAGCCAGCAACCCTTATTGGCGGCCAGATTTAATTAAGCAACCGTATATAATAAAATACAGAAAAAAAATTGCTTTAATTTGATATATAAATTATAAATGTACGTTGTGGGTGTATAAATGTAACAAATTCATACCTGTGTATACCTGGCTGCGAAGAGGTGCGGCCAGGTGCGCAACGGCAACCATAATTTTTCAGAGTCTTTATAGATGTTGCCGTAAAGTAGACGACATTTCATTGAAAAAAAAAGTCAATGAAATTTCTTACGGATTATGAATTATTAATAATTTAATTAAAAACACTAGCGGCCACATTTTGATAGGCAACCTGGTGGATATAAATTCTCCTAATCATGAATATGTGTAAAAATTTGGTTTTCAGCAAACACTCGATGGGTACACTGATTCTGCAGCCGGATCTTAGACTAGAAGGCGATTTTAATATGATATCTTTAGAGTCTTTGATTCATAGTCGGGTAAATTGTTATCGAGTTTTCCGAATGTCGAAATTCTCAGTAATAGCTATAGGTCTGGAAATGGACCCGTTGTAGGCACAACTCTTGAAATTGTACGTATTGAACTAATAGATTCTTTTATCTTATTGTGCGCATAAATTGGTTATGTCATTTACAAGACTGACACAAAGTCAAGTAGATTTTTTTAGTGTTTTAGTCGCGAATTTTCGTTTTAATAGTAGACTATCCTTTATTAATTCTTTCATAAATTAGTTATGTGGATATCTTGAATGAACACTAACGGCCGATTTATCCAACGCTAGATATATTTTAACTGAGGAATAACTATGAATATTTGACAATTCTTCCATAATAAAAATTGTCAAGTAGCAATTTTATTCTACAGTTGAATTAACTGATGATTGGAAAATCGGCCCTTAACCTCTTATTTGCCGGCATGTGAGACACAATAGAACACATTGTGTCTCGCGTATATCTACGTTCCGGCAAACCAGTGGTTAATCTCTTTCCATTTTAAAATAATGTATTTCACAATATCATACCACCTTGCCTTCACAGAACACTGCTTTTAAATGAATTATGTTCCAAAAAAGCATTCGGAACCAAAAATTTGTATTTCTTTTTGTTCCAACAAATGTTGATTGCTCGGTTTGTTATTAAAATCAAAATGTGATTGTGTCAATCAATATATAATCCATCTGCAATGTTTTTCTGTTCAATTATGTGCTGTTTGTAAAATTTGATAGTTTTTAACGTCATATTATACGGCTGAGGGTTGTATTACCGCTTTTGCGTTCGTTAGGTGGCGTTGGTGTAGTTTTACGTCCTGAGGGCCAAGCACGAATAACTATCGCAATCGTATCGTAACAGTATTGAGCGAGTTAAGCGTTCTGATTGGTTGGTTCACTTGAGCCGGCCAATCAGAGCGTCGAATGCGCTCGATACTATTACGTTACGAATGCGATAGTTATTTGTGCTTGGCACCCTGTTAGTCCAAACACTAAAGTAAAAGTGAAAGGATTAATGGTTTGACACTGGAAACATCTGTTAGACAGACTTTACTAAACCTTCTAGTGGATTATTCAAATGTGGTAGGTACCCTTTAAATATGCTCCAGAAATGGCGGTTTTCCGTTTCATATGATGTCAAATTCTATCTAATTCATAAATGTTATAGTTTAAGAGACAACAACGTTAGGACATATCAATTTAAATAGTTAACAGGACATTCCTTATAACAAAGCTTTTCAATAATATTCACTAAAATAAATATAATTCTTATTTAATTAAATGTACGATATTAATGACTATAACGTTCTTATCTCTCGGACTAATAAAAATACATATTATTAATCTCAAAAAACACATTCTAAGATATAAAAATGTATATTTTCTTCATTAAGAATCTTAATTCCTGTGCATTATATGTTAAATTGTTAGTATAAAATATTATATAATATAATAGAAGAGTAGTATCGTAAGAATCTAGCCGACTACTATTTATAGAGAAGAAAATTATTTATATAAAATAGAGCGAAATAATATATTAAACTTGTATAGACTGAAAACATTTTTAATATGTATTTTAGAATTAAATGTTTGATTGTGTGCTGTATTTTTGTGGTTTTATTTCGTTACTTCGATAATTTGATTACCTTATCCTTACTCTCATTTCATTTGACAGCGATTGGTTGACTTTGTTTTTCAATAGGTTAATAGACAGTGTGTTAAATTAAAAATCTAATTAGTTCTCCAGTTAGATTATGAAAAAATATTAGACACTTTTTTATTTTGTCGTATAAGAAAACAATACTTTGATGAAACCGAGTTAAGTTTAGGAGTGGGAGGTCTTTACGTCACGCTACCCTATAAAATGTAGCAAATCGTGACGTCACATGATATTTCAAATCTATATATCGTCGAAAGTATTTAATTTTGTAAGAAAAGAAAAGTATGTACCTACGTGTCTAATGTTTTCAAGTAATCTACCAGACGGACATTAAAATAAAATTTAGTATAGCTACTCTTTTTTTTTTTACTAAAAACCACCCCGTTCCTTCTCCTGCACGTCGAGCCGGAGCCCCGGTTACGCGTTAAGACTCCGAATCGGCATCGGCCCTATTGGGCCCCATCTAGTATAGCTACCCTATTAAGTTGACACTAGCAGCTGTTATATAGTCGCAAAACTGGCTAGTTCGTAAGTTTTCACTTCCCATGAAGGTGATACAGATTGGGGTCACGAGGAGTTGTGTTATATCTGAGGGGCTTAGCGTGAGTTCATTTTACATAAAGAAATCAAAACCTGACCGCGGTGGTCGCTCTGATTGGTTGGGTCATTGGAACCGGCCAATTAGAGTGCCGAACGCGGTCTCGATTACTTTAACTAAGCCCTCTGTAGTAGGCATGAATAGTGACCATTACGACAGTAACTTAAAATAAAACAATAATTTCTCCAAATTTGTTTCATCCATCATCAGTTTTATTGACACATCATTTTGAATCAAGGGCACTTAATAACTTTGCCGTTTATATGGTCTATGCTACTTACAACGTTCCAGATATATTCCCTAATCCTATCTTTGTTATTTTGAAGGTAAGGTAATACAGATCCCGTTGTAGCTGCGTTACTGAATTCTTTCCTGAAATCACGGAAACTTTGTGCTAAGTAAACGATGGATTCCAACATTTCTATCTCCTTCGAGTAGATTATGAAGTTGTTTCTGACATCCTCGTTCACTGCTGCGGCACATGAAGAATGTTCTTCACATTTTTCTTTCTTCAGTTTCAGTAGCTGGAATTATAAAGGTGGCGATAGATTATTATGTTGACTGATGGCCACTGTTAAGTTAGAAGACTCGGGGTCTCTGGTTAAAGCTCTGGTCGTGACGTGTATTCAGATACCTAAGTACTTACCTACATTCTATTTTACCAGGTAGCATTGTTAAGTGTCGTAGGTTGGTGCGGTGGCTGGGCAACCGGCTGCCGTGCAACGTGTCGCGGGATTCCCGCACGGGACAACACTTTGTGTGATTCACAAATTATTGTTTCGGGTTTAGGTGTCATTGTGTATGTGAAGTTGTATGTTTGTAAACGCACCACACAGGAGAAAATCTTAGCGTGAGACACCGTTTTTTTGTTTATAAAAGTAACTACATTGTAATAGGTCTTTTGAATTACCTTTGGAATACGTGCATTTCCTCTTCGAATATACTCCTCAATGCCGTTGAGAACTTTATCAGCATTTTTGAGTCCATACGAGTAGAACTTCTCTACCGTTGGCAAATACACCATATCGTACACCCCTTCGACACTATAAAATGTACAATTCTTTATTATTTTTAAAGAGAGGTATTACTGGTGATCGGAATGAGCCTGGACTTAGGTATAGAATCTTAAGAAAAAACAGCTTAAACTGACGCATAGTTATGTTATATGTAGTGCCTATTAAAAGCAAATAGTGTTTTGTTTCCCGCTGATCTCCGGCCACCGTAAGCACGAGCCTGCGGATAGCGAGCACGGTTAACTCGCCGCCCGAACAGAACCAGACCCGAGCGTACGACACGCCCTAATCAGCCATCAATCATCACAATCACAGATGGGGCGCAATAGGGCTGATGCCGATACGAAGCCGTGGAGTACTTAACGGGTTGCAGGGGCTCCTCGAAGTGCAGGAGTAGGAACTGCTTTGTTTCCACGATTTCCGGTACTAAGGACTATATTATGTATAGTAACAGATTGGTTTTCCACCCATCTATTCAAATAGGTACCTAGCTGCTTACCAATAGGTACCTACTTACCATGGCAAATTTATCGGATAGGTTCTTTACCTAATAAAACAGAAGTTCAAGTGAGAACTGAACGGGGCCCCATTCGGTTGGGGGTCCATGGCATTTTGTCGAATAAAATTGTTATTCTTTTGAACTTACTCAGTACAAGTGTTCTTTATGATCTTCGCTAAAGCAATCAAAACGATCAGCAGCGCGTTGTATTGGCGACCCGCGTCTTCATCCGAAGGCGAATTTATTTCCCTGTGTAATTGTAGATTTACACAAATTAGATAACTTCGAAATTGTATTAAAATAAGTATACTTAGAAGAAAATTAGTGTAATTAAGTGTAAAAGTTATTCGACAACAAAGCAATTAGACGTATTTACACTGAACACCATAACATAACATACCGCCTTTTATCCCCGAAGGGGTAGGCAGAGGTGCACATAACGGCACTAAATGCCACTGTACAATGTAACACCTACTTTTGAGCCTATTGCCATATACTGGGCACAATTGCAGACTCCGTGCTACTACTGAATTTTTTTTAGACCCAGTAACACTTTGTCCGACCTGGGAATCGAATCCGAGACTCGGCTAAAGAAGCAGTCCACGTCCACATAATTACATGTATTCCAAAACTTACGTTTTTTGTATTAAATAGTTCCCGAAGTGTTCAACCAGATCAAGGTCGTCGTAATATGAGTGATCGTCAGTCGCAGCCTTCGGTTGATGAAGATTATCTCTATCATCTTCATCTGAGAACAATTGTTTCCCATTTCTATAGGAAGAAATATCGTCATCTTCATATGATACACCGCGTGATTTCACAAGCCCATTCATGTATCTTTCGTGTTTTCCAACCAAATAGTTTAGTCTTGCTAAATCCTCGGAAGGTCTGTCTTCTCGGTGTGGTGCAGAATAGTGGCTTGGCGGACTGTATGGGTCGAACATATCATTTGGACGCCCGTTGTACCTCGATGACAACAAGTTCACGTTGATCCCAGTTGGATAACCCGCGGCATGCCTGGAGCGAGACCTCATTAAGATAGGAGGTATTACTATGTCTTGTTGGTACGTTTCGACATATAGTACGTAAAGGATTGTAGGCAGTAACCACATTTCGTCTGAAAGCAAAGATTTATATTATTTTAAAGGTCGTGGTGGCCCAGAGGTTAAGACGCCCGCTTCTCATGCATGAGGGTGCGGGCTCGAAACCTACCAACGGCAAGTACCAATGTGGCTTTCTCCGAGTTTTAAGTACTTTCTAAGATTATCTAGACACCACTGACAAAAGAGTGAAGGAAAACACCGTGAGGAAACCTGGGCTTAAAATTTCTAATTATAAGTTTGTAATCGCCAACCCGCATTGAGCAAGTATGGTGGTAAATGCTCAAACCAGTGTGAGAAGAGGCTTTGCTCAGCAGTGGGCTTTTACAGGCTGTTGATGATAGTAATTTTAATGCAATATTTTGGTCTATAAAGTGTTACTTACATAAAACCTAATGCAACGTCACGCAAGCATGTAGATAATACGCAGAATAGAGCCTATAGCTGCTTTATAGTCTCGGTGAGGGCACAAACGTCCTGCGTGTAGCAGAGACGTAACTGCCTTTCATCTGGTAAATGATAGTTCAGGATGCCCAACCCACTGTTTGATTTTGCCCTGCTCTTCGGAACTATTGTGCGTTTTTCCCATATGATTCGAAACGCATTTGTGATTTCTTCTGTCGTTGCAAGTATAATTGGACTGATGTGTTTGCTTTTTTGCTACCAGTAGTAGGGAACAATGCTTATGTATTATACATAGGTGTATATAAATATGTATTTATTACGTGTTTGTTCCTTATTTACACCTAAAAGATACCGGAACAATGATGAAATTGCTGAAACTTACCGAGTAGATCTTGACTGCAGCGGATATAATGAATTGACAATGAATTAATCACTTAAAACCCGGCTATATAAGCATACGTACGTATTTATGGTCCTTATCGTTAGCCCTAACTCTATCATAATTTGTATTAAGCAGCGGTTCTAAACCATTAACTGGATACCAAATTTTTGGAATACCTCGTGTCTACAGAAACGACACTGTTGCTAACCAACCCTGAACACTAAGTTATTGATACTACAAAATCTTCATTATGCAATTTGGAATGTGGTTTGGAACATGTAATGAAATTCTGTTTATAAGAGAGGCAGTAATAAATAACTATGACTAGTAGGTGTGTATGTCGCGGAGAACCTAACGGGTAACCGGGGCTCCGGCTCGACGTGCAGGAGAAGGAACGGGGTGGTTTTTAGTCAGTAAGAGTCTGACACTCCCTCCCGCCTCACCCAGGCGGGAGCAGTCATTCGATATCATAGACCTACTACCTGTCTCCCTTGAGCCTCATCGTGTACGGTGGCAAATGACCACTGTACCATCGTCGACTATGAGGTCACCCAGTGGGCACCTACCTAAACTTTATGCTCCCGTAACCCCAAATATACCAACCTGTTATTTTTAATCCTATATTATAATTAATTCAGAAAACTTTGACAATATTAATTAAAAAAATGTTTGCAATATTTTTGTCGTGAGCGTTAATTATTTTACTAATTCTTAACACGATAATAATTTAAGTTAATTTATCCGCTTGTAGATATAATTCGTTGCGCTCACAACTGTTTAACGAGGGCTGTAAGTACGCATTGGTCTGTGGATAATTGAGCAATTAATTTTTTTGTTGTTACTTAGGCAAATTATTGGATCTGACCCTTATAACTAACTAGAAGAATGGTCATAGACAGCCCTCCGATGGTACTTAAAACTGGTTTTATATAATTTTTAGGTTCCTAACGTCTTTTAGTCTTCTGAGCGTTATCACAAATTCTTTGGTTGATAGAAAAGTTAATCTCCGCATATACCTCTAGATTAATACATTATACTTACCTCGTAGCTATACTTAGTCACGTGTCGATCCTTTCATTAACTCGACCTTTTAGTTAAAAGAAAACTATTTTTACCGATTTACTAAGTTTAAGTTTTTTAAGTGTGGGAGAGCCATGCTTCGGCACGAATGGGCCGGCTCGACCGGAGTGATTCCACGGCCTCACAGAACACCGACGTGAAACAAAGCTTGCGTTGTGTTTCGTCGTGTGAATGAGGTTCCTTTCTCTCCCTCCTCTCCAGTCTCTCCAATCCCCGAATCTCCCACAATCCTCAAATTCTCAATTCCCAAAAGGCCGGTAACGCACTTGTAACGCCTTTGGTGTTTCTTTGTGCGCCGATTGCTTACCATCAGGAGATCCGTCTGCTCATTTACCGGCTTGAATACCATTAAAAAGAACTTTTTTTTTATTTATACTTTAAAGGTCGACGTTTGACCACCATCTTGCGTGATGGTAAGCGATGATGTGGCCGACGATGGAGCACGCCTACCTATGAGCAACCTGTTTAAGAATGAGTTACGTATGTAACACATCAATCCTTAAAGAGTCTAAGGCGCTGTGCTTTTCTGTAACTGTGAATCCAAACTTTCGAAGTGACTTCGATCGTGTTCTCGCCTGACCTCATTGGTCGATTTTATACTCACAACACAATTTTATACTCAGAGTATAATATTACTTTGCGGACCGTGATCGAGTTCACTTCAATCTTTGGAATTGAAAGTTGGAGAATAACCTAAAATCAGCTGAACTCAATCACAGTTCACACATCTAGAAGAAAGAAAGAAAAAGAATCGGTTTATTACACCACGACACCCATGTAGACAACAATACAAGAACACACAAAAAGAATGTCATGGTGTGTCGCAACGTAAAAGGATGGAGCTCAGCTTAGTGCTGTGGCCCAGACACGGAGGCTCGAGTCCATACCGCTGATTTTCAGCACCAGCCTATAAAATCATAGCCACATCTTAACCCTTTGAGTACCGTCATTATAGACACAATTAAAGAAATAGATGTGCTTACACTAGTGTACTAGCGGTGTTTGACAGTTTAAAAACCTACACATACCTTTTGAAAGCCTTTACTTATGAACCTAATATGATCAACTTACCAACACTTTCTATATGTATAAAGAGACGCCTTCAAATAGCAACCGGAAACAGCGCATGCGACGGCGCGCCGTAGACGAGGGTTATTTCCGGCGCCGCGTCGCTCCGCCAATTAGATCATCTCGTCGAAGGGTGACGCAAATAAAAAGAAAAAGGTATTATGTAAGAAAAAACGTGTCTTATCCGATAAGCTTGCAATTTTAAGGAGTGTAGGTATTTCTGTAATGTTATTTAATTATAGTTAATTCCTTCACCGTTTGCTAGTAGTGTCTAAATAATTTTAGAGAGTACATGTAACTCGGAAAAAGTCACATTGGTACTTACTGTTGGTAGGTTTCGAACTCGCACTCTCATGCTCATGCATGAGAAGCGGGCGTCATAAATCTCAGGGCCACCACGACATATCTCCGGTATAGTACAGACTTTTCTACTTCTTTCCACTCCTAACAAACTTTTATTTTATATAAAATAGTTTTATTTAAAAATAGAAGACTATTCCGTGACTACGGGTAATAGGTAGGGTACAATAGCAAAAAATATAAAACCTCTTTCATAAAAATCAGACATTGTAACATCCTTTACAAAATTAGGGACGTCTTGGAACACCCTCTAAAATTAAGTTCCTTTAGAAATCGATCGAGGAAGATACCGGGAATTATCATTTTAATAGAGCCTTCCTGCCGAGCGCCGAACCGTATCGATTTGAGTGGCACAATGGATGGGCGCTGCTTTAATTTAAGTCTGTATCTGTCTGTCTAAGGGGTGTAAGGAGAATGTGGTGGTGAAATCATAGATTTCTAGGTCGTAAGTATGCTCAATGTATTATTGTAGGTAAAAAGTACAAATAGACTCAATGGAGAAATGTATGGTTTCTATGGTAGCCTTAAGCAGATTAGTCATTGGACGGCCAGATAACTACTGCGTTAGGTACTGTTAAAAACTTTCAAAAAATTATAACCCTACTCGAAACCTGACGAACCACGACAGCACGTTCACCCCCATCATATAGGTGGTTGGCAGGCCACGACTGTGCGCTTCCCTCGTAGCTTCCTGCCTCGCACAGCAAAACTGTGGAATGATCTGTCGTCGGCGGTATTTCCGAACTTATACGACCTTCAAACCCTCAAGAAAAGAGCGTATTCCTTTTTAAAATGCCGGCAACGCACCTGTTACTCCTCTGGTATTGCGGGTGTCCATGGGCGGCGCTGATCGCTTACCATCATCATCGTTTCATAACATAACATCACGCCTTTCATCCCCGAAGGTTAGGTAGTGATGCATGCACATTTCGGCACTTAATTGGTAGACCTATTGTAACACTAAAATACTTTGACTTTGTCTTGATTTTTAATGGCTCTGTACCATGTAACACCCACGTTTCACTATTTATGTTATAAGTTCCATGTAATAGGGGGTGAGCCTATTGCCATATACTGGGCGCAATTCCAGACTCCGTGCTACTACTGATAATTTTTTTTAAAACTGATAGAATCGAACCCGAGACCACTTGCCCAGCAGTCGCACTTGCGACCACTCAGCCAACGAGGCAATTAGTAAATCGTTATGTGTTCTATCACAAAAGATCATATTAAACAAATCTAATATCCAAAAAAGACTATTGGAAAGTAAAATAAATAAAAAACACAAAGTTGTTAACAAAGTAATAAATAACAATATAGTAAAAGGTTAACAAACAAACATTTGGAAGGCATTTAGTGTCAGTAATCTATAATTTACGTTCTCATTGGACTAATGGACAGGCGACGTTGATACCAATCTTAAGTACGATTAATGAACGGTACAATTCCATTTGATTTTCCATTTTAACTCTAACGACAGTTCATTTCAATTCTTTCAGTATTAACAGTCCCTTGATGATTGATAAATCTGATGATAAGTACCTGAATTTAATACTCATAGATAAGTATTATCAGTGTCAAGGAGGAAGGGAAGAAAGAAAAAGAAAGCGTTAAGTGTGGGAGAGCCATGCTTCGGCACGAATGGGCCGGCTCGATCGGAGTGATACCACGGCCTCACAGAAAACCGACGTGAAGCAACGCTTGCGTTGTGTTTCGT